AAACAGTCAGGTCATCGATGAACTCGATGCATCGGTGATAAACGTGTAGATGGGGTTGAAGAGCGCTCGCCATTGCATTGGTAACGTGGAGGATTCCCTGGAAAAATATATGGAATAATATATTTGAAAATCTGAGGTGTATGAAAATTGTCAGAAAAGTACAAATAAGTTCTATTACATACTACATTTGATTGTTAGAACTTCAGTTAACGAATCGATCCGTAAAATGTCATTAAATCTCGGACAAAACGTCAAGAATATTTGAGTTAATGAAAAGAATAAAGATATTTTTTGGACACTGTTAATTAAATGTAATATTTTCAAGCGCGTGGTCTACGGTGAACGTCGTAAAGTAAAGCAGAATGAAGAAACAAAATATACACATTTCTTACATTTCTTACATTGCAAAAAAACCGATCGAGTTCATCAAAACCGTCCGAATCGTCGGAACAAGAAGCTATGTCTGCAGTGTTTCCGTCTGCGACAAAACAGATTCGTCCAGATGTTCGTAATTTCTCGTTAGAGTAAATCACAATGAATACAAAAATTGAAACAAACTGCGTGAACCTGTTCTGTGCGTGAAAGTTTAATAAAATCATTACGCACGTAGACGGTCACTTTTTAATTGCAGCCGCGACGAAGACCGCGTTGGCCAGCCCTTATCGCGAACATTGCAATTAAACGGTAATTGCAAGACAATCGCCAGGCAAGTAGAACCAATAGAGGATGGTCTCCCCCTCCCCTCGGTCGCAAAAATAACAGGAACCCCGGCTGGAACAACCAAAAATACAAGCGACGATATTGTTTGGCTAGAGACATCAGAGGGAAAGCCGGCTGTCGCGCTGGCTCGCGTCAACTTTCCGCCACGCGACATCCTCTCGTTTGTCCTCTTTGACAACCCGCCGAATAGGGTGGCTGTCGACTTGTTTATCCAAGCCTTCCTCGTCGATTCCTGTCGCCGGGAGACGTTCGATCCACCCGTTTCACGCCGTTAACGACGGCTATCGCCGTGGCTACCACCGGAGCCGTGCCAGCTGAACTAAACAGCGGGCAGTAAACGATGACAGACGATACGGGATGTCGTTGATAGCTTCTGACGCCGATCGAATAATTTGCACGAACCCTGAAGAAGCCAATTTCGTAGGATAATAATGTTGGAGGAGGGTAGGATAGGACGATTGTGTAACGAGTGCGTAAATAGTTTGAAACTGATTCGTTTTGATGTTGATGTGAAGTTTTTTTGGTTGTCTTTTTTTGAAAGAAGACTGAAAATAGATTCAAATTGATGAAAAGCAAAGTTTAATTACGAAGGTGAATGATGCGTATTTGGCTCCAAAACCAAGTGGAAAAGAATTTTTCTGTAGCTGCTCTCCCGCAGAAAACAGAAAATTGAACTTATCGCGAACTAGCTTGCTAATCTTGCTAAACGCAAGACTGGAATACGTAAATTCTATAAACGTCGATTTCGAAGGTTAGCCATAAGTATCGGAAGTTATCGTGAAGGAAGTAGCGCGCGATTCTTAAATCACAATCTGCAAGACAATTCCATTCACCTGGTTGCAACGCAGAACGAGCCGAAGAAATACGAATTACAGAGCGGCGCGGTGTTCCCATTTCAGGGTAGGCGGTTAGATTTTCGCGGGACGAGCTTACATAAATAACGAAGGCGCGGGTGCAGCAAGCCAGAAACACTATTACAATCACACTTCGCGGAATGGCTCGATTTCTCTGCGAATGCCATAACTCACTTTATCATCGAGCCTTTTAATGAGTCTTTGCGTTTATTCTCTCTTCTCTTTCTCTCTCTTCATCTTTCTCTCTTCCTCGCTCTTTAGCTCATTTCTCCCCACCCTCAACCGCGTTTATCCAACATTTGCCAGCGCGGTTTTCGCGCGCAATATAATAGGATACAAGATCCACGGGCGAAGGAAGCCAGCCAACGCGAAGTGGTTATGGTCTATATCCTCTTTCACCCGGTGATCCTGGCCAACGATAAAGACGGAAGCTCAAATAAATCGCGCCGCCGCCGGATGCTAGACACCGAACGTACCGTCCGCGAAAGAGTAACGAGAATTTCATTCCTTCGAGGTTACCCCGTCTAGGGGTCTGCTGGATCGCGTCGTTTCACCGTCATAAATATGGCGGAAAGCTACCGGCTGGAAAAAAAGAAAGAAAAATAAGGAACGACGCGTGTTTATGGCCGGTGGAATGCTTTATCTGTCACTCGATTTCTACTTCTTATTTTCCCCCTCTCTCCTTGTCTCTTCCACGTTTGAAAGTTTCCTCTGTCTTCAGCCTCATCCTCGTTTCATCTTTGTGTCTGTTTCTTTTCGTATTACTGGGGGAAACCGGCATTTGAGTGAATCAGATATATTAGCTTGAGTTATTAGTAATTTTCAGAATTTTTATTATTTCCACTTTTACTATTTTCATGCTCTTCCAATGGTGGAAGGTACAATTATTATTAGTTAGATATTGGGGAGAAACTCAACGATCGAGCGAGACAACAAACAAAGAGAGAGAGAGAGTGTGTGTGAGGAGAGCGCGAGAAAAAGAAATGCAAGAGGGATCGCTCGATTTTCTTACACGGGGCATTAGGAAACGCGTATCGCGTTCCCCATGATAAATGGCCGACAGTTAACGGCAGTGGTTGCACAGAGAAGGCAAGTAGAGAAAAAAGCATCACGCCTCTCGTGGAACTTTTTGTAATTTTATTTTTGCCACTTTACTTCCGGTCGAACGACGCTTTCCGCCTTTGTTACATTGCGTTGATGATTTTGTTTCGTGGAAGGGAGTAATTGGAATGGACCTTTGCGATCAGACACTTGATTCGATGGCACGATGCATCAGTCGATGGAGGATTTGTTCGTTTTTTCTACAATCGCGAAACGATAGTGAAGTGACAAAATGTCACGATTATTTTCAACAAGTATTTTCAGGCCGGACGAGATCGGTTTCGAACTGGCAGGATTCAGCCAGCTTAACCAGTTGCGAGAGATAAATATTAGATGTTGCAGAGCAGCATTCGAATTTTCACGGAATTAATTGTACACACTCGATTTCGCAGCGCGATCATTAACCTACCGAAATTCCCGGGAATTTCTAGCGTGACTAACGAGCGACGAAGAAATCAGGGCCGAACCGTGCCTCGATATTTCCGCAAATTTTGTTAAAATATATACGCTCGTCAAGGTAGCGAGCGTCGGAGGATTTCGATGAAAATAATTTACACAGAAATGCCTTTCCATCAAATTGTTTTCGATACTGTTCTCGTGTAAATCGCTATTTCGTAAATTAAAGACAAGAATATCTGATTATCCGCGCGATACTTCAGTCTGAAATACCAACGTAAAATATTAGAAATATTAACACACCGGTTAATGAGATATAGGTCCGATGTACACGTATTATACGTGCGGGGTTAATGATTCTTGTAACCAAAAACGGTCGCTATTTCATCTCGTTTCCCTCGTTATTATTTAACGTTATTATTTATTCTTCATCTCTCCTCTTGGAACGCCTCATTTTTTTCTCGAGACACCGACATGCTCACGGACTGTAACTCTGGTATCGGTCGAGAATAATTCATATTTATACAATAGAAGAAGGTGGCTCGTTCATAAGCGAAAATACGTTCATTTAGAATCAAGATATTCCGTTTCTCTGACGTGCACGCATGTTTTTAAAACCTCCCTTAGATTCTTTGATATACGCTCACTCGTTGCTTATAATTTCAAATTTGCCGTGCTAGCATATGAGCCGAGAATACTGTACGTGCTTTTTCACCTTTTTACCGTGCTTTATCATCGAAGTATTAATTAAAGTCGTCGGGTTCATTTGCTGAGAGATTCAATTGAGATCCAAAAAATTTAATCTCGAGTCACTGAGTCACAAGTCAAAACTGATCAGCTTTGCTTCAACGTTTCGACGTACGATCGAATTTTTAATCGTTCACAAATTCAGACAGTAAATTGATGTTGTCGATCAATTTCGGAGCGTGAAAAACTAATAAAAAAAAAAAAAAAA